AGAAGACATTTGTATATATTTCCCATAGAGTCCTTTGTTAAACGAAGTCCCCAGATGGTGGCCATCTTGGATGATGGATAGGCTTCAAAGTAACAGCGCTTGGTCAGCACCTCATAAGGAACATTCATGCCATGTTTGGTTTCATTCCATATAGTGGTTCTCTAAAAGAAGACATTTGTATGTATTGTCCATAGGGTCCTATGTTAAACGAAGTCCCCCATTGGCGGATGGATATCTTGGATGATGGATCGGCTTCAAAGAAACAACACTTGGTCAGCACCTCATAAGGAACATTCATGCCATGTTTGGTTTCATTCCATTCAGTGGTTCTCTAGAAGAAGTTCAAAATGTAAAAAGTTAACGACAACGACGACGGACGCCAAGTGATGAGAAAAGCTTACCTGGCCCTTTGGGCCAGGTGAGCTAAAAAGGGATATGAAAAATGTTTTAATCTAATTGGTTTTACCATTTATCAAGCATCATGAAACAATATTGCAACATTTTCATTGGCTATTCATTAGGTCATTAATGACTTTCAAAGGTCAAAATGATGTACATTTCCTCAAAGGCAACAGTATTATATGATTCCTTCCATCATATACAAACCACTCACACTTTTCACCTGAAAATCTTATTTTCATCAAATTTTAATTCTTAAGGATGTTTGCTCCTCTTGTTTTTGAATTTTTGTCAGATTTTCAGAATTCTCTGGTTTTATCCATGTTTGCCATTAAAAAGTTTGCCTGCTAACCCCTACTTTTCTATTCATAATTTTATTACATATAGTTTAAAAAGCCATATTTGAAAATCTTATTAAATTCTTGTTATATTTTCATAGTTTTTGAAAGATAAAAGGTGCTAATGTTAAATGTATGAAGAATCTGGAGAGAATCATTTCCCGCCAAATTTTCAATGGCTTATATCTCAAAAACAAAAACTCTTAATTTTTTTCTGCTTTTTTAGTTCCTTTTTTTATATACTATCAATTTATAACAGTCTTTTAAAAAGATTGTTAATTTGAAACAGGGTAGCGAACATCCTTAAGTCATGTTAGTGTACAAAAAGTTTTAAAATATCTGGGGTTAAAGTTTGACATAAGAGTATTACCATAGTAGTAGGGTGCCCAATGTCCAAAAAGTCCTCTAGTTAACGAGTTTAAGTTAACAGATAACACACAGCTGATTTTTTTGCACATTATAGGAAAATCATTATATTTTACAATCATGATTGTCATCGTAAGTTCCCGTGGTCACGATTTTCTAAATTTCGTGTTTTTACAGGGTACCACCAGATACCGTATTGTACGGGGAATCTTTAACATGAAAAATAAAATTATTGTATTCTTTGTTGGTAGTTAAAACAGTACCTATAATATAGTTTATATATTAAATATATCATATAACAAAATCGGAAAGTAATTAAGTGATTTTGTTATAAGTATTTCAGCATTTTAGTAAGAGTAAAATTTTACCCGAAATTTACCCTATTTTCATGGAAAGCAAAATTATATTACGTGTATCATCACAATATTTTTTACTCTGATTTAAGCAATAAGACACAGTGCATGTGTGTGCCAAATTGCATGCGTGAAATAAAAATCGTTTCGAAAAAATTAGCAATTAAAAACACAAATTAAGTCAACATTTTGGTATCGATATACACGGATTATCTCGTGCCATTAATCATTTTGTTGCTTACACTATTAGGTCATTAACAAGGACAGAGGTCACTCAAAACATTTCTCTTTTCTGCTTGTTGTGTGGTTGATTTATTTGTTGTGAATAGCCAGCTAATTTTGTAGATTGTCACTTTGTTCGAAGAAATCTGTTTTGTGTCTTTAAACTTTTTATTGAATAAATATTTTGTTATAATTGTAGTAAAAGAATCAAATCGGTCGGTTTTGTTTCACACCCGGAATATGGCACATCAAAAGTCTTGTATGATGTTTTCGACTTAAATCCCTCTCGGTGGGAACGACAACAAAAATATACCACCGTTCGTGCAACAACAAAAAAAATCAACCCCCAGATACAACAGACAGCAACCAACGACAACCACTTAATTGCAGGCTCCTGATTTTGGACAGACATATACAGAATTTGGAGGGGTTAAACATGTTTGTGATCCTTCAACCCTCCCCTGACCTGGACAATGGTATAACAACACAGCATAAGAAAAATCTGCTGAAAAACAGTTTGAAATGGCTTGACTTATCAAATCGGCATGAAGCACAAAAACAACTAACATGAAGACAAAAAACACAAAGTACCGATATAATAGTGCTCGTTAGGGTAGAACATTTTTTATTCTGAAGAAAGGGATGGGGCTGGCGGCGCGAAAATTTATTTTCACTTTTGTACACATTGATATCCTCAACTATCCTGCATTTCATGTTGAAGAGTGTTCATTTTCATCCTGTCTTGTGCAAAGTCAATTATTTCAGTTCATACCAGGCCAAGTAATTCATTTTCAAAATCCTCATTCCCTCCCTGTTTTCGAAATCAAATGGGTGTTCCCTTACTGAAAACTAATGAAAGCACGTTATCAATGGTCTGAGAAAAGTATGATCATAAACATCATTACCGTAAAAACTAGCTTTTGTTATAAATCAGGCCGTTAGTTCTTTTTTTCTAATGAATTCTTTCATTTTTTTCATAACTGGCCTTTTTATAGCCCACCATATGGTATGAGTTTTTCACATTGTCGAAGGCCGTACGGTTGCATATAATTGCTTGCTTCCACATCTCCTAATTTTTATATCATACAACAAGTATTACATAAAATTAACACTATCAATGTTCCATGTAAATGAGGTAAGGTCAGATGAACTCTGCCACAAAATCATGTACACCTTGTTACCATTCAATACACCAAATATATTTAACCCACTACTATCTGAGACTGTACGGACTTTACCACTGAAACTTAACATTGTTCACTGATCCGTGAAATTAGGTCGAGGTCAGGTGAAATCATGTCTGACAGTCATGTAGACCTTGCAAGGATACCATATATTAGTAACCAAATATAGTTATCCTAGAACTCATAATAATTTAGACATTCACATGACGAAAAAAGCTATACAGTTTTTTAGAAGTCACTTAACCATGATTATGAGGATAATGATTATATGACAGAAACTTCGTAACACATTGGATCTATATACAAAGTATGAATCATCCAGTTCCTCTGCCCTCTGAAATATAAAGCTATACAAATGGTTTACGGTGTTGCCGCCACCACCATCAGATTGTATTCTGTATGCCTCGCATTGTACTACTCGCGTCGAATGCGATTTAAAAAAGAACAACTGAAATTAGCTCTCTTACCTAAACCTAGTCGGTGGGGCTTTCAACTTAACAGTAGACAATGAAATTACAACGTAATAGCTACTACTAGCTTCGGCAATTTTTTCTATGTTGTTTTGCTCTTATTAAAATTCTGATCTTTATTAACTTGCGTGCTCTTATATATAAGCTCAAATGAGGATAACGAAATCAGAGATCTATATTATAATTAGATTGATGTTGTTTACAAGTGTTTGTAAAATACATCGACGTTGTACAAAACTTTCTTTTTGTAGATAATCTTTAACTTCATGTCAATTGTAGGCCAATTTATGTTCTATAGGTCATGTACATTACACTTGAAAAAAGTGTGTAAGATGTAGTAATTAGCCTGCTGAATCTAATTCTCATTTTGTTTTCATAACTTGTAACAGAAACCCTCCCCTTTTTCACCGTTTGCATTTTTTTTATTTCTGTAAAGCAAATATATACTCAGACCTGATAATTCAATCAATTCTGCGTTAATATTCATCAGTTTTGGAACTAAGTACGTACAATTTGATGTGCTTCCACATTCACCAAAAGAAAATTGGATAATTACCCAGAAAATCATGACGAACATCTTCTATCAAAAGACAGAAAAAATAATATTTTGGGAGGGCAACTTATAAATGTTAATATCTAAAAAACATCTCTAAAGATCACTTGTATCGAATCTTATGTAAAAATTCCGATTTTGGAACTTTTAAAAGGTCAAGGTCACTGTTATTTAACAGCTGAATGAAAATTGTAAATGTGCACCCTATAAGTACAAATGTCAATCTCGAACCATATTTGGCAATAAAATTATCAAATTAGTCCTAAATATTGAAACTATAGTTATAATCCTTTGAATTATTCGAATTTATTTTGCTATAAACGCAAATATGTAGGGGTGGCCAGCTGTCTAAACGTGACTCTACGTTTTCCTTGAAATTTTAGATTTGACCTTTGACCCAAATTTAAGAATATCGTGACCACTGTAGACAACAACGACATCAATATTTTGACGAGACTTGTTCTCCTCTTTCCAATGATATAAAATATAGCTGTGTGTTATTCCGTTAACCCAAATCGATCAAATTTGTTTACTGCGCACCCTACTATAGGAGAAATAGGTTTAAAAACTCGTGAGATGTGGACATCGCTTGATACCAACTCTTTTTATTTAATACAAATAGTAATGATAAACTCGCCAAAGGCATATGGAACCTATAGATATCTAATTATCGTAATAAACCTTTCCATATACTTTTATAACATACCAGTATACAGCAGATATAATGTACTAAAATGTACATGTTATAGATAAACCTATATTTCAAAAATCTATATTTTTGATTTATGTAGACAAGGTGGGAGTTTTCAAATGAAGTTGTGGGCTGCCTGCTGTCTCCAAATAATATAAGCAAAAATGACATGGTCCATGTTATGGTATGGAAAACTGTATAAAAATCATTCAGTTAAATTTAATGAAATAGCAAGTGCAAAACTTGATGTCTTGTAGAAAAATCTGAGGAACTTTGTCCACCCATTTTCAGGGTGTTGTTGATTTAATATTAAGTGGGACATGGACATTGATGTGGATGACTACATAAAACAGATGCTACACTTCTTTGTCAGTATAGCTTTGCTGTCACGCTACACATAAAATACAAGAATACACAAATGTACCTGATCAAGAGTAGTTTCCCTTCTCTGTCCATTTTGATATAATACTGGCTGTACAAATTCAAAAACTCTTTGTCTGTTATTGTTGAATTTCTCAGAAGAGTGAATGAATGGTTTACCTGAAAAATGGAAATTCTAGATTATTATGAAATAAAAATCTGGATAACTTTGATCAACATTAAGATTGATTGATTGTTGGTTGCTTAACGTCCAGTGGCAAATATTTCATGCATGTTCAGGACAAGAACAAATTAACCATCAAAACAATAGGTAGGTCCAGTAATAGAAGTCAACTGGGTGGCAGGTCGGGAAAATTTGGACTGCAACGGGAAAATGAGGGTATATTAGATAGGGACAGAAATTTAGCATGCAACAAGCCACCTACAGGACCTTCAAAGAGTTTTTGCAAGGGTTCTTAACGTGCAGAGAGCGTGACACTCTCTCTACACGAGGCATCAGATTTAACATCCCAAATCTGACCGGACGTGGCTGCATACTTGATACATCCCGCACAGCCAAACAGACACCCCACTTTGGCAAGGGCTTTACTGCCAGTCGGGAGAAGACCTGTAGTGACCATATTTCTATTCCCCAGTCACCCTTGGGGATTCAACATTAAGATAAAAATAAGATAATTAGATAATGAATATATAAAATGTACATTTTGTTTATAATTAGGTTGTTGTAAAAAAAAAAGAGAGGTGGAAGATACCAAGGAGACATTCAAAACTCATAAGTCAAAGAAAAACTGAAAATGCCATTGCATAAGACAACGATAAGGGATGAACAAGTCTAAAAAACTATATAGAAAACTAAAGACTGAGAAACTCCAACTTTACCATAAACCAAAATCACTGAAAGTATATATCTTTGCTTTGGAATTGGCTTTGCTCATTTTTGAAGGCTGTACAGTGACCTATAGTTGTTAATTTCTGTGTCATTTGGTGTCATGTGGAGAGTTGTCTCATTGGCAATCGTACCACATCTTCTATTTTTATAATCAGTGTAATTGTTTCTGTAAAAAATATAGTATTGTGAAACTGATATCAGCATCGCTTTGATGAAAACCAAGCAAGCTGTACTTTTAAAAAACTTTTTATTTGATTAAGTTTTATAATATCTGTCAGATACATGCTTAATACATGAATTATCAAGTGGCCCTCTCAATTCTTTAGCCTCTGGCTAAGCCACTTAATTGAGTAACCCCTTTTTGTACTCACACAATTACAGAAATAAGCTTTAAGCCTATATTTTGTTTTGGATTGAAAAGTGTATGGTAAAATTTTATTTTTCAAAAAGCTTCATGATCAGCTGTTGAATATATAGTCTTTAAGAATCTACTGATATCATGCCAACTTTTAGTGTGGCATCATGATCAGCTGTTGAATAGTCTTTAAGAATCTACTGATATCATGCCAACTTTTAGTGTGGATTCATGATCAGCTGTTGAATAGTCTTTAAGAATCTACTGATATCATGCCAACTTTTAGTGTGGCTTCATGATCAGCTGTTGAATAGTCTTTAAGAATCTACTGATATCATGCCAACTTTTAGTGTGGCTTCATGATCAGCTGTTGAATAGTCTTTAAGAATCTACTGATATCATGCCAACTTTTAGTGTGGCTTCATGATCAGCTGTTGAATAGTCTTTAAAAATCTACTGATATCATGTCAACTTTTAGTGTGGCTTCAAGATCAGCTGTTGAATAGTCTTTAAGAATTTACTGATATAATGCCAACTTTTAGTGTGGCTTCATGATCAGCTGTTGAATAGTCTTTAAGAATCTACTGATATCAAGCCAACTTTTAGTGTGGCTTCATGATCAGCTGTTGAACAGTCTTTAAAAATTTACTGATATCATGCCAACTTTTAGTGTGGCTTCATCATCAGCTGTTGAATAGTCTTTAAGAATCTACTGATATCATGCTAACTTTTAGTGTGGCTTCATGATCAGCTGTTGAATAGTCTAAGAATCTACTGATATCATGCCAACTTTAAGTGTGCACATGAACAACCTGAATATTAAAAAAGATTCTTGATAAAAACAGAAGTTGGATTGACAAAAAGTGTGCTGTATATTCAAAACAATTTAAAAATATCATGAATTCATAAATGATATACAGTGAAACCACTTAAGGGAGAACAAAAAAGTGGTCTCATAAGAACGGTGGTCTTCAAATACAGGTTTCATATATATGTGAAATGCCCTACAGAGGGATCTCAAATTAATGGTCTTATAACACAGGTTTTTGCTTGATACAGGTGGTCTCTTAAGCTGGTTTGACTGTATGTAGGTTTATGGTCATGAAAGAAGGTCATTCAAAACAAAAAAAAATCATTTTTGTTTTCTTATATTCAAAACCAACTATAAATTTTGCCTCTTCATGCTCTAATCGTATTAGATTACTGAAGCCATATTTTTTTTCCATAAATTTGAGATGAAATTGGATACACTGCGTTCATCATGCTTTGCAATAACATATGGTCAAATTACTAAAAGACCCCCTTCCTAAATTATTGAAAACTATCATTCTGCATTGACAATAATATCTTGGTTTAATTAGATACACCCATTCGGGTTAACGCCCTCAAGATGTATCTAATACTTATGTAACTATAATATGTATAGATCTGAGAATAAAATTCATTCAACCATTCATGGATGCCTGTACTGTAAGCACAGAAGAGTAAATGTTCAATGAACATTGACTACAATATATAATCAATCAACCTATGTCTCTAACAACATTTTATTCACCTAAGGGGTCATGATTTTTCCTATATATATACATAGTTCACTCAAAGCAGTAGATAAAAGTACCAAAATAGAACATCAATAAAAATCCAACATACATGTATGGTCAAAGGACAGTTTATATGATAATTAGTTTGTCATGAATGTCTTAATGTTGATATCCAGGTTATATGTACTAATCATTATTTGATGACCATAAACAGCAAGGAAAATTAAATGCATTCATTAAAACCACATAAACTATTATAACTATAGTCTTGTATTACATTTGCTCTAACGTGATCTTTCAATTTTAATCCCTTAATCTCAAATTTTGTATAAGAGCAATTTAATTTCCCATACAATTTTGTTTGGGCAGCAGAGTTTACAATTTATTTTTTCTATCTCTAACTGGTTAGACATACATTTTGTAAATGCAATAACTGATGTATTCACTTTTCACTTCTAGTGAGAGGTGAAAAGTACAGGTTCCAGCCCCGCTTGGGCAGGAAGTTAAGAATCAGATCTACTCTAATATTGTTAGGTTGATTTTCTAGGTACTTTATATATATGCATATAGTCATTCCTGTACACTTAAAAATATTTTGGGTAATGCGTTTAAACATGTTTGTTTAATTCCTACAAGAAAGTAACACCTCCCGAAACAAAAGCTGATTTTTATCAGCTATAGTTAGAGGAGGGGATAAGGTGTCTGCGCAATAAATACATCTGTACAAAACTAAAGACCAAACAAGAGGTACATGATGAATACTGTTTTTTTTTATTACCATAATCAACAAATAGACTAACAAGAGTGCACACCCTGAAATATCTTGCCTTCTTTACTAACCACTGATTTTATGTTGATTATATAGTCCTAAATATAAAGCTTTACTACAAGTAACACATAAACTTAACATGATCCAAGAAAATGAGGTCAAGGTCAGATAAACCAAACAAGAAATACATGTACACCTTACAATCATTCAATAAACCAAACATAGTTGACCTATTATTTATAGTTTCTACGAAACAGTCTTAAACAAGAAAACTTAACATTGACCAATGAACCATGAAAATGAGGTCAAGGTCAGATGAACCATGCCAGACAGACATGTACACCTTACAATCAATTTATGCATTAAATATAGTTGACCTATTGCTTATAGTATCTAAGAAACAAACTTAACATTGACCAATGAACCATGAAAATGAGGTCAAGGTCAGATGATACCTGCCAGACAGACATATACACCTTACAATCCTTCCATACAACAAATATAGTTGATCTATTGCTTATAGTTGAAGAAAAACAGACCAAAACACAAAAACTTAACACAGAGAAATAAACTGTGAAAATGAGGTCAAGGACAAATAAAACCTGCGAGACTGACATGTACATCATAAAATATTTCCATACACCAAATATTGTTGACCTATTGCATATAGTATTAGAAAAAAAGACCAAAACTCAAAAACTTAACTTTGACCACTGAACCATGAAAATGAGGTCAAGGTCAGATGACACCTACCACTTGGACATGTACACCTTACAATCATTCCATATACCAAATATAGTAGACCTACTGCTTATAGTATCTGATATATGGACTTGACCACGAAAACTTAACCTTGTTCACTGATTCATGAAATGAGGTCGAGGTCAAATGCAAATTGTCTGACAGGCATGAGGACCTTGCAAGGTATGCATATACTAAATATAGTTATCCTATTACTCATAATAAGAACGAAATTAACATTACAAAAAATGTTGACTTTTTTTTCAAGTAGTCACTGAACCATGAAAATGAGGCCAAGGACAATGGACATATGACAGACGGAAACTTCTTAACGTAAGGCATCTATATACAAAGTATGAAGCATCCAGGTCTTCTAGCTTCTAAAATATAAAGCTTTTAAGAAGTTAGCTAATGCCGCCGCCGTAGCCGGATCACTATCCCTATGTCGAGCTTTCTGCGACAAAAGTCCCAGGCTCGACAAAAACTATTTAGATTATTATATCTATATATTAGTGAGTGTAAGAACCTGAAATAGTTTTTTAATAAAAAGAGTTGATAATCATGATAAGGTATATTCATAATATATCTTTTTTGTGTTTCACTGAACATTCATTTAAATTTTGTGAAAATTTACTCAGTGTTAAGATGAGCTGTTATACGAAAATTAAGGAAAGCTTGTTTTTAATTGCAACAATGCCTAGCATCATCAAATCCTAATGTCTCAACTTGACTGCATCTTTAAAACCATAAAATTAAACCTTTTCTTATGGTAGTGAAATATGGAGAATGTTTTTAAATGCTCTAGTTGCATGAAACAAAAAGAATGATTATTGGTACAATTTAGAAAATGTTTACCTGAAAGATATATATGAAAAATCACACACATAGTTTAAGACAAAATGATAAACAAGAAAACAAGAAAACCAATGACTGGATCTATGTAATAAAAATAAACTAAAAAAATCAAATATGACAGACAACAACCAAAGTGAACAACTGAATTCCAGGTTCCTGATTAGGGACAGACACATGGGTTAGCCATGATTGTGAGTGCTCTGAATTTCACCTAAAAAATCTTGGCTCATTTTAAATATAGACACAAAGCAACAAAAATAAAAGCACAGAGTTCCAATGTCCCCCTCATTGCACATATTTTATCTATCCAAGGTACAAGGGCAATAACTAAAATAAAATGATCCGCTGGGCGCAGCTTGATACGACCGCAGAGGTCGAACCCTGAACAGTTGGGGCAAGTATGGACAGAACATTCAAGCTTGATACAGCACTGAATTTGGATTGTGATTAAATATTTGACACAGCATAAGTTTCTGACACAGAATGAATGTGGTCTAAGAACTTAAAAAATTTTAATTTACCTATTCAAACCATATCATTATTATTTGCTTTTATATATAAATCAGAAATAACCAATTTAAAATGGAAAATTTTAAAGGAAAAAAAAATCCCTCCCCCAAATTTTTGAACCCCCTTATGATTCATCAACCCCAAACTCAATCCCAGCCTTCCCTTTGTGGTATGGTACCTTGCAGTACAATTTCAGAGAGATCCATACACTTGAACACAAGTTATTGTCTGGATTCTAGAAAAATGCTTGTTTTTAGGCCCCTTTTTGGCCCCAAATTCCTAAACGTTTAAGGCAATTACCCCCAAACTAAAACCCAGCTTTCCCTTTGTGATATGGAACCTTGTAGTACAATTTCATAAAGATTCATACACTTACACACAAGTTATTGTCTTGAAACTAGAAAAATGCTTGTTTTTGCCCCTTTTTGGCCCCTAATTCCTAAAATTTTGAGGCAATTACCCCCAAAATCAATCCCAGCCTTCCCTTTGTGGTATGGTACTTGCAGTACAATTTCAGAGAGATCCATACACTTGAACACAAGTTATTGTCTGGAAACTAGAAAAATGCTTATTTTTGGCCCCTTTTTCCTAAACGTTTTGGGCAGTTACCCCCAAACTCAATTCCAGCTTTCCCTTTGTGATATGGAACCTTGTAGTACAATTTCAGAAAGATCCATACACTTACACACAAGTTATTATCATGAAACTAGAAAAATGCTTGTTTTTTGCCCCTTTTTTGGCCCCTAATTCCTAAAATTTTGAGGCAATTACCCCCAAAATCAATCCCAGCATTCCCTTTGTGATATGAAACCTTGTGGTACAATGTCAGAGAGATCCATACACTAACAGACAAGTTAGGTCTGGAAGTTACAAAAATGCTTATTTTTGGCCCCTTTTTTGCCCCTTAATTCTTAACTGTTGGTACCATAACCCCCAAAATCAATCCCAACTTTCCTTTTGTGGTATTGAACCTTATGGTAAAATTTCATAGAGATCCATTGACTTCAACTAAAGTTAAAGTGCAAAAACCAATGTGTCTTCAGAAAACGACGACGACGCCAACGTCATACCAATATACGACCACAAAATTTTTTTGCGGTCGTATAAAAAGCACTTTTTTTTTTCTTTAAAACTTTTTTTATTAATATCTTTAGAGAAATGAAGGCTTCAGAGCAAATGCAATGTGATTTCCATTATAATTTATATATTTTCATAACTCATTAAAAATATTTGATCAGAAATGATTTTCGAAAGTGTCAATGACATTGCTGATATAAACCTATGATATAAGTTCCCATAAAATTTTGGCAAGAATTGAACACATGAGAGAGATAACATTGCAATTTTCCATACAATCAATATTTTCAAGGGGCTTAACTCTTTTAAAAATAATTGATCGGCTCTGATTTTTTAACTCTTCAAGAACATTGATGATATAAACCTATAATATAAATTTCATAAAAATCTGGCAAGAATTGTACACATTAGAGTGCTCATAAGGCAATTTTCCATATAATTAATGTTTCCAAGTGGCACAACTCCTTTAAAAATAATTGATCGGCACTGATTTTAGAACTCGTCAAAGACATTGCTGATATAAATCTATGATATATGTTTCATAAAAATCTGGCAAGGATTGTACACGTGAGAGCGCTCACAAGACTGGACGGACGGACGCCCGGTATTTCCATGTCCCTGCAACGCATTTTGCGGGTGACAAAAACAAATTTGAGATACAAATTACATACATTGTACATGTATCTAAGACATATCACAGATACTGAAAGCTAGTTCAAAGCTAATAACAACTAATAAATAAATCAAATTTTCCTCAAATAAAATTATCCATCAGTCCACATCCAATGAATTCATTGAAAAGATGTAAATAAACAGCCCTAGAAAAACACCACCTTGTGCAATGCCAAAATATAAGTATTGACAGTATGCATATATTTCATGTGTTTATTTGTAATAAAGAGTTACACTTGAGGAATATTACAACATGGTTTTCCAGGTTAAACTCAAAATTCTAGACTTACCAAGCTTGAAAATAAATCTGGGTAACATATGTAATAAAGTTCTATGTCTCGCTTTCTGTGATAGAAGTCGCAGTCAAGACAAAAATCAGTTTCAATTGGCTTAACTCAAAAGGATTGGAACATTGTACAAGACACAAAAACAACTAACATAAAAACAATAGACACAAAGCACAGAAATCAGAGTACTTGCAGTTACTGAAAGCAAGTTCAAAGCCAATAATATTTCTTCAACTCTACTGTCATGACTACTGTACATGCACATTGTATAGACTTTAATGATTTTCCTTATATACTATATATACATACATGTATATATACCATATATATAATAATAATAATTACATATGTACTTCCATACTTTGTTAAAACAATAATATTTTGAAGGATTATTAGTATCTGATTTCTTCAATTATATACATGAAACTCAGAAGTCTCACCTGAAATCTCCTTTTTTGTCAAATCTTATCTTATTCTAAATGTTGCATAAAAGCTATTATTGCCTGGTGTTAATGCTTGACCCAAAAAACGTATCTATGATGTCGTACTGAGGTTTGAAACGAAAACATCATATTGCTGAATTTTACATTTAAGAATTTACTACAACGAAATGTCTTAAATGAAATAATTTCCTTATTTTCCATTAGAATGAAGATTACTGTATTGTATTTTATAACATGTACAAAATGTAAAACATGATTGTACTGTAACAACAATTTGCTTTACCTAGACCTACTACGCAGCAAGGTTCTCACTATGGATTTTTGAAAGCTTGTCCAGGGACACGTCATTTTTGGCCAAGGTGAGTCCAACAGTGAGAAAAAGAAATTTTATTGCTGTATACATTGTACATGTAATTTATCACTGCAGTCTCCATGACAAAATAAATCAAGAAATGACAACAAATTTAGATTGTTTTTAAACTTTTGCTGTAAAATGATGATGTACATGCTAAGTTGATTCAACATTATACAATCTTAATGCATCTTTGGACTGGTATCAGATCGTTCCGTCCCCAAGTTGTTACGTCTCACATCAATCCGACCCCATGATAAAATAATAAATAATTTATATTAACATCAGAGGATTTGGTGACATATTTGATTCAGGGCAAATGGAATTTGCACAAAATATTAATGAATAATGAGTGCAGGTAAGTGAAGAATGCCTAATATTGGAGGAACATTCAGATTATTCATCTTAAATCAAAACGAAAAGGAGTATGATTGGTATTGTTTGTATATGAAGTTATTTTCCATGATAACACTGAATATAATGGAAAAAATAGTTTTTACTTAATTCACACATTGAAGAGATAAATAGATATTTACAATCCAATGGAACATATAATTATATAATCATCATGATCATAATGACTTGTTTAAATCAAATCAATGTCTATAATTGGTTTGTTTTTTCAACAATTGTTTCAGGATCGTGGACCAAAGTAATACCAGTCAGTCGTAATCACTTATTTCAATCAAAATCATGATTGATAAAATTTACAAGGTATATATATAGTTTCTTTGTTTTGATGGTTCTATTTAAAATTCTGTTATAAATGTTTTTATTATAACTATGCATACACAATAGTCTTGAAAACTAGTAATAAAAACATAGTTTATACTGTATAATCATACGTTCTCATTTAAAGTGACAAATTGATTTGAATTCAAATATTTTATACTAAAATAATATTATATTTCTATATGGGATCTTACTATAAATATTTGCCTTTTTTTCAAAATATTCCAACAAATGTCTCATCTAATGAAAAATATTGGTCAAAGGCATACCTTTTTAAACATGGGGACGATTGACCTGGGACGAGTCGACTTGGGGCCGGATAGACATGAAAGCTTTGGACTCACCCTGTTTTAAAAATTATGAGTCCAGACAGAGTTTTCATGAGACACCTTTAGTGACAACCATGACACACTTTAATTCAGTTATCTTCGAAAACCATCTAACAGCCAATAGTAAGTTCTGGTTACCATATTACAACTTTCAAATAGAAAGAGGGGGTGGGGCATTCAGTCATCAAGTACATTATACCATGCTAATACAAAATAGGATAGTTGAAATGTACACTAGTTAATCATCCCATATTTAATGTAAATGTATAATACAATAGATACATTTCTGCATATGGGCACTTGCACAGGAATGTTTGCTGTGAAGGAATAAAAATTGATAACAACTTGGGAGTCCCTAACTGCTAAATTCAAACTATTGTACAATTATACCAATATGAAAAAAGTCAAACTGGTAACTGTTTAATCAATCAATTGGGGTGGGTGTACATTTAATTAAAACTTGGATAATTTGTCATTGATCGGTTTAACCGTGTTTGAAGCTTGAAACAAAAGATAGATCAGTCATTAAAATGTAAATATCACTTAAAATTACTAACCATAATTTCCATCTGTATACGAAGAAAATATTTCTAATATCAAACCAATTAGAAATATAGAACAATGAAAGATATCCATTGCCAATTATTCATGATGCATCTCTTCTGGTAACCTGTTAACATCAACCGGAAACTCACTGAAACGTAAACAGTAGAAGGGAGCGAACTCTTCTCATTTCTTCAGATAAAACGCGGACGTCGAAGAAGACATATAATTTTTAGAATTCCTATTTTAAATATATTTCAGTATTTTTATTTATTTCAAAGCAGTGATTACCAAGAATACACCAGCTGTCATATTTTCGTCAGGGGTCTATTTAGGAGTGAAGGTTTACTACATGCAGATGCCTTGAAAAAAGCAAATATATTAAACGAACAATTTAAATCGGCTTTTACATCTGAGACTAATACAGCAAGGAATTGTATATTTAAATATACAATTCCTTGAATACAGTAATCCCTGACAAAGGTCCATCAACACATCCAATAATGGACAACATAGACATCAACAGAGAAGGCATCTATACATTAATTGTAAAAATATAAATCCTAAAAAAGCAACAGGACCAGATAACATAACTGGAATAGTGTTAAAAGAAAACATTAACACATGCACAGACATATACTCACTCTATTTTTTTACAAAATCAATACAAACAGGAAAAGTACCTCATGATTGGAATCACGCAAACGTAACACCTGTTTTCAAAAAAGGAGACAAACATCATCCTAGTAACTATAGACCAATCTCATTAACATGTATTTCCTGCAAATTATTAGAGCACATACTTGCAAGCAACATCATGAAACACCTTGAATCAAACAACATACTTTATGACTTGCAACACGGCTTCATGGCAAATAGATCTTGCGAATCCCAGATAATTTCACTAATTCACCAGCGGCTGTCATCAAATAACGATAAAAACATACAAACCGATCTAATCATCATGGATTTCGCAAAAGCCTTTGATAAAGTTCCACACAACCGTTTACTATATAAACTTAAATTTTTTGGTGTATCAGAACAAGCTACGAACTGGATTAAATCTTTCCTTTCTAATCGTACACAAACAGTCATACTAGAAAACCATTCCTCTGACAACATACCAGTTACATCAGTTGTTCCCCAAAGCACTGTATTAGGTCCAATACTATTTTTAATATACATCAATGACTTACCTGAATATTTACATCACAGTCAAATCAGGCTATTTGCTGACGATAGCATCATTTACCGACAGATAAAATCAACATCAGATTGCCTTAAACTTCAAGAAGACCTAGAAGGGGCAATCAAATGGGAACAAGACTGGCTAATGCAGTTCCACCCTGACAAATGCAACATACTTCGAGTGACCACAAAGAAAACACCTATTCATTTTTATTATAATATGCAAGGTCACATTCTTGAGTCAGTTGAAAATGCAAAATATCTAGGCATAACTATATCATCAAATTTAAAATGGAACAAACACATTCAGAACATGACATCAAAAGCAAATAAGACCCTTGCATTCATCAGAAGAAAACTAAAAATAAACTCAGTAACCATCAAAGACCGAGCATACCAAGCCCTTATTAGACCGAAACTAGAATACTGCTGCACTGTCTGGGACCCTTACACAACAGAGAATATTAACTCCATAGAAAAAGTCCAAAGACGTGCAGCAAGATACGTATGTTCTAAATACCAATATACTGAAAGTGTAACAAATATGCTTAACACACTTCACTGGCCAACATTACTAGAAAGAAGACTCAAAAGCCGATTGAATATGTTCCATTGAATTACAAACAACAAAATTGCCATACCACATACTGACATACTAATTAAAAGCAAATCTACATGTTCTTGAAAAATTCAACAGCGTTAAAACAAATCAAACATTGTAGCACACACCTTAAAAATTCAATGTATATATGTTACAGGGAATTTGTAAAATCAGTGATTTTGTAAAATCACTGGACTAATCAGTGATTTTGTAAAATCACTAACAGTTTCAGTGGTTTTGTGAAATCCCTGAAATTGTTAGGGATTTTACAAAATCACTGAATATAGAGCTAGGGATTTTGTAAAATCCCTGATTGCAATTAAGTATAACTTACTATTAGAAATGTGTTTTTCTTAAAATAAAAAATATTATGATCACTAATGATTTTGAAGTATATTTGTTTATTAAACACTATGAGCTAGATCTAGTGTATAATGATAGTGACTAAAAGGCATGTAAACGGATATTTAGACCACTGAATTTACTTATTTTTGCATGGCAAGTTTGGGTGACATCTATTGTTACGTAATTGCCGTGTTTTTTTATGCATGTCTGTATCAATCAACCTGTACTCGGAAAATTGAACTCTTTGTTTATTCAGAGACATATAATACAAGTATATGTCTCTGGTTTATTATAGACTTAACAACAAAACCTTTACTGTAGCAGCTCTACGTTTTTTTAGTTGGCATTCCTCTCAAAATTCCTTGTAAAGTTTTAAAGCTTTGTTTGAAACATTTGCACACTTTCAAATTGCGTACTTTTAATACCATTTTGTTCCTACCACCATGATCTACTGACATGTGAATTTTCTGAACTATGCTGTACATGTCTTCAAGACATACATAATATTTTTAAAACATCATTTTTTTCAAATCTCCACATTGAAGAAATTCATACATACATTAAACAAAATATTTACTTTAATTGGATTAAAAGAGTTGAGAAAGTTTAGAAACTTATTTAAATTATATCACTTTGTGATAAAATACATGTATCTGATATATGGCCAAAGTAAGTTAAACTTTTTTTTATTTTTGCTTGGTTAGAACCTATTCATAAACATGCTAGTACAAAACAAAGTATTCTTACCTATATTTTTTCATTATTATTTTGTGAATAAGAATGTTATTTTGTAGGCAAATTAATAATACAACAAAAATTTGCTTTTTATATACCAATTTTCATACAGCAATAAGATGCTTTTGATCTGATATGAATGTAATATTTGCCACTGGATCACATACCACTCAATTTCTTATACCTTACCAATGTGTTTTTCTTCTCTAATGACAGCAATCAACCTAATGTTACGTTTTCATATTTGATTTTAAAAATTTGATATAATTGGTTTCATTTCATACAATAATAACAGAAGAACTATAATAAACAGTAACTTTCTTTCAAACAAGGTATAGTGATAAGAGCTTGTTTTGTCTTCTTTCTGTGGCTCATTAACAACGTGTTTTGTAATGGTCCCATCAGTATTTTGTTACATTGTCTGTAAAGGGCGTTTAGCTGATGTTAGTATCAATCTGATCAATGTCGGTTAGGGCATTAAACCACACATCTTCGACCTCAGGTATGAAACCTGAATCCCTGTTCATTGTGCTTTTCTCTAGATGCATTGTGTGTAGTGGAAAAAACAGTGGTTTGCGTTGATGTAAAGAAATACATAATATGCTGCATTTCGGATGGCGACTTCATAGTCCAGGAAGATAGTGGTAGGCTGAAGTTGTAGTTGGTGTTGGTGACATACATCTTTGAGTGAAGTCAGGAACGGTGTGTATATTAGTTCGCTCTTGGCTGGAAGTGAACTGTGTACCAGTGGATACTACATTGCGCCGTCAACCATTGCGTGAAATGTGTAAAGTTTGAAGAATAGGCTTGGACAGGAGTAAAATGTACAACTGTGTTGTCGTCTGTTATTAGGAATGGGTCACCTTTGGTAGTACGTGCCCAAATACCATCTATGTTGATTTTATCAACATTTTTGGTAAAACTGGTAGATTCTTCTTGCGTTTGTTGTACATGGAAATCTTGCAAGATGGGAAAGTTTGTTTTAATATTAACTATCATCAATTTATGTGTTCGGATGTCATTTTTTTTAGGTTTACAAATTCAATGATTTTTTAATCTTACTTCTATTTATCTGACTTATTATTATTTATTTTAAGGTAATTCTTTGAAGAAGAAAAAACATATTACAAACAAACAGTGTATTATTTTTTTTTTAAATAATATACTTAAACAGTGTATATGTTTTCTTCTAAAAAATAAGGTAAATCTTAGGTGAATTCTTAATTAACCTTGATTGTTATAAAAACAAATTATTTATCAAAACATCTATTGTTATTTGCATGTGGGAATAGAAGTAATAGTGATTTTTAAAAAGTGGGAATAGGAGGAAGACACCGATTAATAGTATGTTCGACACCCAAGCTGTCAAGTGAAGCCATATAATTTTACAAGTTCTTTGATTTACAGGTAAAAATTACCTTTCAGTGATACAAAAACGTAATTAATGTTGACAATGATGGTAATAAAAAATAGAGAATGACAAATTTTTTGGGTTGAAATTTAAAAAAAAAAACCCGGAATGTTTGAATTAGTAACGGGATAGACGGAAGAGGGCTTAAAATCGGGAGATTTTGACTCCCGCCGAAAGAATCACATGTCTGAATTATTATTTATGTTCCTTTTTTTGCACTGTATATTCAATTTTTCATTTTATACCACATACTTAATGTACGTGTATTATATGTCTCTGTCCATATGATATGAAATAGAATAGAGAATGAGAACGGATAATGTGTCAAAGAGAAAACAAGCGACTCCAGGTTAAAATGGGTACTAATAATTGCAGAACTGGGCGTTTTTGCAATTTTTTGCATGACTATGCAATGATTTCATTCAAGTGCACCATTTACAATTATTTAATTCAATTTGAATGGGAATGGAATTTTATGTGACACTGAGGTAAAGCTCCTTGGAGTGACAATAGATTATCAATTTAAGTTTAAAACACATATTTCTGAAATTTATAAAAAAAAAAAGCATCAAGGCAGTTAAATGTACTCTTGCAGATCTTAATGTTTTGATTTCAAGTTATGTTTTGTTTTCCATGCAGCTTGTAGAATAGTTTTGCTTTATTTATTTCGTCTGCTTTGTATGTGCTTATGACACGGGTTATGTTCTTCTCATATATTTTATGATGGTATAATACTAAACCCCTAACAGGAGGGATTGTGCCTGATATTCATATGATGAAGACATAATCTTTCAATCAGTTTAATTGAGGTCTGGAGCTGGCATGTCAGTAACTGCTAGTAGTCTGTTGTTATTTATGTATTATTG